TCTCCATGCAGGAGGAGTCTTAAAGCTGTCATTACCAACAAAGGCTTTTCTGCTAAGTATTAAATAAATTTCGATAAGCGTGTTCAATACTTATTCCCTGTGTCATTTCATTTTATTACACATAACTTAATTTACGGACTTATTTGTTTTGATTTCTTTGTATGTGTGGATTACGGATTACTTGGGTTGTTACCGACATCTGGTGTAAATGTCAATAGCCCATTAGAAATATATTTATTGAGAAAATTGTTCATGCTTTCAATACTTATTTTCCCTGCTGTATATTCTGGTATGAGACATTTATACCATTTATAAAATGAGTAATTAATGACAGGCTTTATTGGGACTGAAACAAAGATAACGAGGCCTTTATTGTCACTGGATACATAATACAGTGAAATTTCAAGTACCCATCGCAGTGGTATTAAAACATACAGTGACACACTTAAAAACGAAGGCAGGTAAAAGTAAAGAGAGAATAACCAGGTTTTTACCTAAGTTAACGTGATTATTATTTAGGCCCTCTACATATTTCTTGGCACGAATTGGCTCAGTTTAACTGATGAGTCCATGATGAATCTTATTTTCTCTTATATAGTTAATCTATTTGTACCATGCTTTTTGCTGACATTACCAAATGATAGTTTTTTTTCAAATAAAGAAAACCATTTTATGTTCTAATTCTTCTTAATTGTTTGAGTGTGGGTACTTAGAGATAAGAAAGTGCGTGCTTTGTTTTGTGACCATGTCAGAAGGTAAGTTCTGAGGCGGGCGTCAACATGATGGTGGGATACTGAAAGATATTGAGATCGAAATGCAGGTTTTACCACCAACATGGTATTTAAAAATGTAGCTGACATTGTGTTTTTCTTTTTCCTCCAGCGGACGCAGAGCAGACTTGCCATGGGCCTGTTTGTCCGTGTGCATGCAGGCTGGTGACCCTGCTCCAGGCTACCAGCTATAGACATGCTAATAGGCTGTGTTGGCACTTTGCTGGGAACGCTGCTACAGGTGTTTGCTGTTTTTTTTCTTTTTCATCGCAAGGACTAAGGTGTGCCTGGTATTTTTACTAGATTTTTACTAGATTCTGCTTTCTCAGATCAAATGGGATGCAATTTTTCTCATTCCTGGTGTGAGCTCTGTGTTTCTCACGCATAACAATGGAAGACAGAGTGCCTGGAGAACTCTGATTGAATATTGGCTAAAGTAGAAAAAATCAACACCAAAAACGTATTCACTGAGTTGTTATGAAGGCTCTTCTTGTTGACTGCCATTTATTCTTGAATGGCGGCCACATTAAGTAGCCAGTGTGCAGCACTCTGCACGGTGTACTATTACAGTCTATACTTGTCTAACCTAAGATTATCTCATGCGTACTCAGAGTGCTGGATTATCAGGTATCACCTAGCTTTAGAGCTGTCCACCTCCACAATGTGCAATTTTCTTTGCATGCCAGCCTTGTTTGCTTAGCTTTGAAAAAAGTAATTTGGTTGTCTAAAGAGTCCAGCGACAGGAAGCTAAGCAAGACTGTTATTGTGAAATGTGTGAAACATTAGCATTAATCTCACTGGCTGCTTTGCTAACGGACTAAATTCTAAAATCTTTGGTCCTCTTATTTTTGTGGCCCAGTATGGACACTGACAGTCATCACAAATGGGCAGCTTGGACGATTTTGTAAAAACCTCTGTGAAACTTCTGAAAGTGGTCTGGAGTATTTTGCTTGAGTTCTAGTCAGCAGATGCCAGATTATACACTTACAAACCAATGCTTAAGGGTAATAAAACCAGTTACAATGTCTGATCATAAAAAGTAAGAAAGTAGTAAAAGAATCTGGATAAATGACTATATCTGCTAGAATAATAAGGAAGGTGTTCTCATATATGACAATATGTTCTTTAAATGCCATTTATTCTGTTAGTATTTTATGGTAATCTACAATAACACACCAAAACCCCTCGCCATTTCATCAAATCTGTGGTTCCATATCGTTTTTTTTTTTTTTGCCATTCATTCCCTAGGATACTAAGCACTTTACAATATATACACAAGGCAAGAATTAGTCCATGGAAGTATATTGTATATCAGGGGTGTCAAACTGCAGTCCTGGAGGGCCGGAGCCCTGCATATTTTTAGGTTTATCCTCATTTAACACACCTGATTCAACTCCTTGTGCTAATTACCAAACAGCTCTAGAGCTGAATCATTTGTGGTGGAACAGGGAAAGAGCTAAGCTACACAGGGCTCTGGCCCCCCAGGACTGCAGTTTGACACCCCTGATATACAATATACTTCCATGGACTAATTATTGCCTTGTGCTCATAATGTTCATTCGGTTTGTGCATTATAAACACTGATCACTAAGTACCTGCCTTTGGGTTGTTTGGGATTCAGGGGCGAAGGACACCGTGCCTCTGATCAGGTTGGCAGACTGATGCTGCTGTGGGGCCCTTGAGTGTGGCCCTTAACCCCCAGTACCATGGGAGCCACACACCGGCTGACCCTGCGCTCTGACCCCAAGCTCACACCCACCTGTACAGTATGTGTGTCTGTGTGTCTCCTGGAGATGAAACGAGGTGAAAGATGAAGAAAGATGAGATGAGATGAAAAGAGAATAAAGCACCACTGTTCTGAGTCGGGGTTATTTTACGGTTATTATTGTTAATTAAAACCATAACAAAGCATTTTTGGAAACTGAAATAAAATGATACGAAACAAACCTACAACTAAACAAAAACTATACATTACATTACTATACATTAACTAACTGATGTAAAAACAAGCATCAAAAACTACTCATTTAAAAAAACTATTTAGCTAAAGTAATCATTTATCTTTAATGATAATAAAATATGGATCGTATTTTGCCTGTTTTGAGGAAATTCGTGCATAATGTGCACTGTGTATTTGTATAGAATTATTTAAAGATCAGACATATGTAACAGCTCTAAAATTTTGCTAAATTTAAACAGAAGCTAAAATATATAAACTAAATAGAAACATCTTTAAAAAGCTAATAATATCTATATCTATAAAAGCTAATAAAACACAGAAAACGAACTAAAACAAAACTGGATTTCAAATGAAAATAGAAATTAATATGAAAATAAAAACTAAATAAAAAAAAAATCAAAATGATACTATCACTGTTGTGAGCACACTTTGTTGTGGCGTTTCTCATATCCTGACTGAAGCTCTTCATCATTCATGTCACCATTCGCTGTTCATGTCACCATTCGCACTAGTTACAGCATCTATTTAATGGCAGTTCCACCTAATATGCTCATTCATGAACTGAATATTAATATTCCTCATGTATCATTTCCAGTATCTTCTATTGTGTTCTGACACAGAGGAATCATTCTTGTGTGTGCTGTTTGTTTCTCCCCACTAATCCGGGCTTTCTTCTTGCACTGTCATGTGCCGACACATCCGTACCTCATTCCAATCTGTACCAGAAAATGACAAACTGTAAATAAGTCACTGGCCCATCTTTAGCCGTCCTGTGATGCCTGATTGTGTTTGTTGAGTTTCCAGGGTCCTTCTCTGTGTATACGCTGGCATGAGACAGACCATATAAGAAATGTGAAAATGAGTTTTATTCTTGCAGTTAGTTCTACCATGTTTTGTGTCGACTTCACTTAACATGTTTTTAAAGGCAATTTCCAGATTTTCCCGATTAACCAATGATAAAATGGGTGTTGTTTTTTTCAAATAAAGGATACTATTGTATGTTATAATTCTTCTTAATTACCTTAGTGTACTTAATGATAAGAAAGTGTGCGGTGTGTTGTGTTACCATGTGAGGGCATAACCTGCACGGCGTCAGTCACAGAGACAACTGTGTCTGTAGTCTGTGGGGAACATTATTCAGGTGTGAAAGTTGTGTGAATCATGACCTCATCATAATTTCCCTATTTTGCCAATTCCCTCATGTCGCGTGTCGGAAGGCGGCATGAATCATGGTACTATCATCATTTCCTTATTTTGATGTTCCCACCTGTCAGGAATGTCTGTCAGACTGAAAACGGGTGCGAGGGGGGTGATTTGTAAAACATACACACGCCTCCTGGCCATTCCAGCAGCTCTCCCAGTGAGTCACTGACTGGGATATGATGTGGGGGGGGGGGGGCAGAATACATTCCCCAGCAGGACTGTGGTCCCTCCCCGCCTGGCCCCTCCCAGACCTAAGCCCGCTTACGTCACGTGCGAGCACGCCCTCTGCATCCTGTGATGCAGGCCAGGTGTGACTGCCGAAACACACATCCTGCCAAGACAGTCGCTGATTTTTGGTAGCAAGCCTGCGGTATGAGTCTGAAAGGGAGACCTAGCTTGATTGGCTCAGCATGGAGACCAGGGCTGCTCAACTATTTTTCCCAGAGGTCCAAATTCCGGAAGTGACACAAAGCCAATGGACAGAGGCTCATTAGATTTCACCAGCAGCTTAACCACACAATTTGGTCAGCCAATTGAGTACCCCTTGTGTAGACAATGATGTTGAAAATGGCCTGTGCATCCATGATTTAACTTTAATATAGGATGCAACTGCTGCTAACATACAGTTTGTTTGTTCTCAGTAAAGACTCCAGTGCAGCAAAATATACAATGTTTATGCCTGTATTTTTTAACCGGGTAAAAACATACTGACTTCCAAAATAAACATACCAAGCATTTGCAGTTGTGGCGAAACTTGTTGACTTTAAAGCGCGGATTTAATAGCTCATATCCCACCAGTTGATAATTAAGCCACATTCTAACACCAGTGTTGAATATTAAATTCCCTCAGGATCACTTTTGAACGACTAGAAAACCGCAGCAACAACGGCTTACATTTACAAGCTTAAATACAAGTCCAGCCTGTTGTCCAGTCGATTCTCAGTTCTTCTTCCAGCTACTGAAGTGTTGAATATTTGATTCCCTTCGGTGTCGTGTTCCTTGTACCCCAGAGGCTGCTGGTGTTCGGTCTCAGCCAAAGGTTCCGCCCCCACGCAGGATAGCTCAGCCCTTACTTCTTGTGCCATATAAAGGATCACCTGCATCACGAGGGTCAGAACAAAGCCAGACCTCCACCAGGAGCTCTCTTCCAGGAATCAGTCACCCTCCAGGTCAGTGTACCTATGCACTTTTTCATTTCTATACTCTATGAAGCTATGAGTGGTTTGAGTATTTTAAAAACTATCAGTTATGCTCAAATAATCCATACGCATGTTGTGTTATGACAGCAAACATATATATGATATATATGTAAATATATATATGTACATATAGAAATATATATGGATTACATGTGTGTGTTTTATGTGTTTTATATATATATATGGATTATATATATATATGGATTATATATACATATGTAAATAAATATATATATATATATATATATGGATTTTGTTTCAACTTTTTCTCATGAGAAATTTGTCTGTATCACACATACAGCTTGATAATGAGAAAGTCAAACATTCTTTTAGATAGAGAGAACTTTGTACATGAAAGTACATGAAAACACCCTCCTTCTAAATACCAATTAAAATCCTTATATCTTAGGTGGGAATAATGCATGTTCTTCTCCATTCATGTTTAGTGGGCAGGTCCCTATTTAAACACCTCTGTCCTGTTTCCTATCTACAGCTCTTATCGCCGTTGTTCACATTTGTATTACAGCTACAGTTCCATTGTATTTTAAGTTTCATTGCCATTCTTGCATTTTGAGATTATGTTACCGTATGAAAATACATTTGCATTCAAGTCCTGTTACAGATAACACAAGAGGGTAAAACAAGATGAGCCTGTTCCAATCAGGACAGTGTTAGAGATACCGGGCATCCCTTTACAGGCAGGGAGTTTCATTTCAGCTGAAGCAGAGAGAGACCATGCGGCAAGCAGCTGCAGTGTTTTACGTAAAAAAATAAGAATCGCTTTGGCCATGAAGTTGTGCTTCACCACAGCTTTCCAGCGCTAAGCAGTCTGTCACTTGATGCAGTGCAGCAAAGGGAGAGGCTTACATCCAATATGTCAAATGTGAAATTCAAATACCTAATAAACCTATCATCCATAATAATACATAATCATCCATCCATCCATCCACTTTCCATGAGTGCTTATCTAGAACATGGTCACGGTAAGCCTATCACAAGAGGCACAGAACATGAGGCAGGAGATATCCTAGAGGTAATGTGTCTATCACCTATACAATGAGATTTAAGCTTTTCCTTTTTAAAGTTTATGAAACTGCTCTGGTTTATGAACAATTTCTACAGTGTTTTATATTAATCTGGAAATGACTAATACAGTACGTTCGAATACGGGATTCTTAGTAATGATCATACAGATTGACAGGATACTGTCCATGTGTCTTCACTGCGGGACAGCAGTGAGTGCCTGCTCTTGTCTTTCATCACTGAATTTCGCCTCTGCTTCCCTCACCAGAGGCCACCATGACATCCGTGTACTCCGTGCAGAGTCTCTCAGCCGGCCGCAGGCCCTCCTTTTCCAGCATGTCGCTCAGAGATAACAGGCTGGCCCTCTCCAGGGCACCGGCCACGTTCTCCGTCCGCTCCCTCTCCATGAGCGGAGATCTCAACAATCTCGGCAGCCATTCTCTCGAAGCCATGCAGGTCGGGGCCAACGATAAAGAGGCCATGCAGGGCCTCAACGTCCGCCTCGCCAAATACATGGAGAAGGTGCGCTCGCTGGAGAAGGCCAACGCCAACCTGGAGGAGAAGATCAAGCAGCTGATGCTTGAGAGAGCTCCGAAAGGGCGCGACATAGAATCCATGATGGTGAAGGTGCATGTGATTGAACAGGAGGTCAGTGTCCAGCACCCCTTAGTGTGAACTACTACTAGTAATGTAATGAGTGGTGTGTGGCTCCAGAGGTTAGGACTCATGAGCAGAAGGTTGCCGTGCTTAAATCAGTGTCTAGTCACCATTTAGCCCTTGAGCAAGGCCCTTAATCCTAATTGCCTCAGGTACACTGTCTGTCCCTGCTCTGTGATCCACGCTTTGACTGATCGTTTACTTTGGATAGAGGATTTGGTCTCCTAATTGAATGAATAAAATGTAATTGCTGCAGACTGTATCCCTTAATCCTAGCAAATTTAACGCAGGCAAGACTGAACACACCTGGGCTTGCAAATCCAAATCCATATAGGGTTCGCTCCGTTAGAAGAGTCTATTCCTATAGACAGCAGTGTGTTGTACATCCCAAGCACTGGTTTTGGTTCCAAACACCAGTTACTCATTAGCTGGCTTTAGCTTGTGGGATAAATGATCAGCCATAAAACAAACAACATTTGCATTCTGGTTCCTGGCGTCAAAGCTCTGTAAGGGACAACAGAAGCCTAAAGTGGAAGACAAAATGAATTATGTTGCAGGGAGAGTATTAGAATACACAAAGCGGGTACATTAGGAGAAGCAGAGCCCAGCGAATGGAATGCTTCATGACACGTTTCGATTCCCAATTCAGGTGAGGAAGAAGACACTGGAGAACGCCCGCATCATGCTGGAAATCGACAACGCCAAGCTGGCCGCCGATGACTTCAGAGTCAAGTAAGTACCTGTCTGTCCTTGGGAGCCTATCTGAGCTGGAAATGCGGCAGCAAACTCCCTTCCAACTGGATGCTTCTTTTGTTACAAAATTCTTGTAATGTAAGACTTTAATTGGTTGGGAGCAAGACATTTTTTTTCCTCCTATTTCCTTTGGCATTGACTGGCTTTGCTAAAACTGATGTAATGTATGTGTGATATAGTCTCATTAAGCACATAATCTCTACTGTAGGTCATAATGATATTAAACTATTTTGATCTTGTCTGTTGCTAGGGCGTGGTTGGTCTCACAAATCACTTGTCTGATAATAGCCTTACACAACATCCCAAGCATTTAATCCATAGGCATGGATGACATGGGTTTTTGTATCGATGATGGTGGTACAGTAGAAATGGCTGTGTACTTTGAGAGGACAAGGACAAGGGCTTGTGCGCCGCGTGACACGTCTGCCCCTCTGCACAGATGGGAAGCGGAGATGGCATTGAGTCAGTCCGTGGAAGCAGACTGCCTCGCCTTGAGAAAGGCCAAAGCCGACCATGAGCAAATCATTGCCACACTGAAAGAAGACATGAAGAGCCTTCAGGACGGGCTACAGTTCCTCAAGAGGAACCATGAGGAGGTGAGCCATACCTCCTGGATCTGGGCACATTATGCAGATCAGCAAGGAGAGTGGAATCTAAGATCTGCTCCATCCCTGACAGATTCTCAAACTGATCTCTCATCAATCATTGACTTCTCATCAGCAAAATTACACAAGGAATCTTCAGATTATCCAACACATATGATAATTTAGAATTCCTCACTCTCAATGCATCTGTTTTTCGGTTTGGAAAGGGTTCCGTTTTCATTTCTAGAACCATCCCCCTGACATCTGGCATAGGTCTGAGATGCATTGTTACTGCTTTTATTTTTATGTTTTCATGCGAGTTTTGGACAGTGGGGTTAGTGGTGCTGCATGTGCAGACATGCGAAAAGCAGACACCCGGCCCTTTATGTTATCCTTTGGTGTGTCGTTGGCTTAAAATTTATACGCATGGTGTAATAATGGCACAAAGTTAGTAATCTGACCTTTATCAACCCTGTTACTGTGGGCAGTCAATTATTCATGCTAAGGGCATTAATTATGAAGGAGGAGTTTTCAACAGCTCTCTCCTCCGCGATATCCACACAGAACCTCTCTCCGCTTTCAGAACACGCAGAAACAAATACGATCTGTAGCCTATCTCTCTCTCTCTCTCCCTCTCTCTCCTCCTCTTTCTTCCTTGCTACAGGAGATAGCCAAGCTACGTGCTCAGTTGGCCACAGACCAGGTCAATGTGGAGGTGGACGCCAACCATGGTCCAGATCTGGGAGCGATATTGGCCAGCCTTAGGTCACAATATGAAGGCATTGTGCAGAAGAACAAGGACGATGTCGACGCTTGGTATAAGAAGAAGGTCAGTGGTTCTTCAGCCAGTGTTGACTCATCATTAATCAATCATCATTAACTGTGATACACTTGCATAACACAGAAATATGTATACGGCAGATGAGATAATTTCTTTCACCATTGCGTGCATTGCCAGCAAGCGCAATGACGTACTTCATTCACATTGCGGCTGCTGTTTTGTTCCTACAGCTCGAGACCATGCAGAACGAGGTGCAGGAGGGCAGCGAGGCACTCCGCATTGCTCAGAACGAGCTGAACGAGAGGAGACGCTTCCTCCAAGTCCTGGAGGTGGACCTGGACAGCCTACGGAAACAAGTAAGGGCCTGCTAAGCCCAGAGCCAGCCCAAGAAAACCCCTCCCAAAAGAACCCCACCCCCTATTTAATCTGTCCTAACCCAGGCCAAATAACAGTCCAATGTGCCCCACACCTGACCTCGGATGCTTCCGTGGACATGACTGTTACTTGCCATGTGTTCATTTTTTTTTAAAAAAACATTGTTGGTGGTTCTCGAAATACTTGCCTGAAGAAACCATCAAACTGTTCTGGCATTTTGACCAACCCTCCACGTTTATTTGCATTCAACATTTACTTCTGTTAGTCGTCACAGGAAATAAATTACTCATTCACTTCTGTTTTATAGTGAAATTTTACTGACTGTAATGATCTTTCATTTATCTGAGTGAAAGGAGATCGGATGCATAGTACGCCTAATATCCAGGCACATTTTATCAGATAAAAACTTCTCAAGGTCATTTTGCCAGTAAACCTGGGGAATTTTTTTTCCCAGTAGTTTCCACAACTGATAATGAGTAGAGGTGCAGTACTACAGTGTTTACATTTAAATCACATTAGTTATTTGATAACTAAATTCCTCACTGGAATCCCGAGATACTCACAGCAACAGAAATATCTCAATTTTAGGACATTTTGTTTATTGTTTATACATTCTCTGCATTATGCACAGGTGTATGATGCAGGCTTCTCTCTCCCTTCCTCTCTCTCTCTTTCACACTCATACTCTCTCTCTTTCTCTCACACCCTCTCTCTTCCTCGCTCTTTCACCCTCATACTCGTTCTCTCCCTTTCTCTTTCACCTTTGTGCTCTCTCTCTCCCTCTTTCTCTCTCTCTCTCTCTCTCTCTCCCGCTAGGTGGCAGCTTTGGAGGGTAACCTGGGCGAAGTGACCCACAAGAACGCTGTGGATATGGAGCAGCTGCAGATGACCCTGTCGCAGCTTGAGGACACCCTGTCTCACCTGCGCCTTGATATGCAGAGCAACAAGACAGAGTACGAGCAACTGCTGCGCATCAAGCAGAACCTGGAAATGGAGATCGCGACCTACAGGAGGCTGCTGGAAGGAGAGGAAGTGTGAGTCCCTGCACCGATGTGGATGGCGGCAGTCAGGACAAGCTGTAGTGGCTCACGTTGGGTTCTGGGGGAAACCTTATGTAAGAAGCTGTGCAGATAACCAGTTCTTGGGTTTTGATCAACAGTGTTTATATTGATGTAAGTCGGGGTTCCCCAATTCCAGTCCTGGAGAGCCAGTCTGGAACACAGCTTGCAGATTTCTCTGCTCAGACACACCTGCTAAACCTGCTAATTAGCTGATGAGCTGAATAAGGTGAGTTTGAGCAGGGAAATCTATAAACTATGTTCCAGACTGGCAACCCAGGATGGGAACTGGGAAACTCTGCTGTAAGCCATTATGCACATGTTCATATATATATACATCATATAATAATATAATCTTTCTCCTTTCTTTGTAGGGTTAAGGAAGTCCCTAAAAGTGAGTATTCTTTTTTTATTAATGCAACTTTTTTTTTTAGTCTTCCATGACTTAAGGGTACATGCCACAGTAATATCGACCAACCAACGCAGGTGCTCTCAGCATCAACAGATATTGATTTGTAGAAATGGAACACATGAAATTCAAAATATCCCAAAGCATTAAGAGATAGAAATACCTATGCCATTGCATATTGAGAGCTATTATTTTCATATATTCTTAAAGAAGTGGTGCAAGATTTTTTCAATCCTAAATCTATTCCAAAACATTTTTTACAAATTAAAATAATTCAATTGAATAATAGCTGAAATGAAGAGCGTTACACTCGCATGAACAGTCCGTTGATCCAGGGCAACAGCGTGTGAACGTCAGCTATATATTTTCTTCAGACTCTGATTATCAGACTGCCGTTGTGTACATTCCACTGCAATTAATCGGTCACTTTTGGCACCAAGCCAGCCTTTAACTTGCCTATCTGTCATGGCCTTCTCTTGACTCACAGGTATGATGTCATTGTGTGAATAAAACAATAGTAAGCAGACACTCCCAGAGCAAATGAAATGCTACAAGTTGCACATTATATTGGAGCAGAGGGAGGAAGAGACCTGAGGCAGCCTCATTTTGTCTGCTCCAAGTTGCAAACCTCTAACCTTCAGGACAGTTAACCTGTGACCTGCCACCGTAGTGGATTCTTGTCAAACCCCTCCTCCATTATGGAACAGACAATGGGTTGTGGCACGGAATTAATTATAGATTAATTTAAACTGTACACAAAGTACCCTCCCAAAACAGAGTAGCCCTTAGCAACTGCATACAAATAAGTTGCTGGTTCCTTCTCTCTTTGTTTGATCCCTAGAGCTAAAAAAGAAAAAACACAAAATCACAACCTTGAGAAATGCTTTTAGTTTAGTTAAGTGTGTGTGTGTTTGTGGGGGGCAGCAAGACATAATCAGGTGACAGTCCCAGTTCAGTTTAATTCCTACCACCTGTACATTGTTTTGGCCTTTTTGTATTTGGGTCTGGCAGTAAACTGGGCCAGAGCCATAGACAGATCCAGAGAGAATGCATGAGTAGTGTCCTGTTTTTTTTCCTTCCCCATTATAGCCACCAAAATGCTGCTTTATAAGTCTCTTGAATTCCCTACTTTTGTTTCCATTTGATCCCCGAAAAGGGAGAAGCTCAAATAAAACTCCGCCCACTGCTTAAAGCTCTGAATCATGTTCTTTTCTCGCCCAAGCCAGTGCATTGTTTCCTGAGATCCAGGCAGGAAGTAAAATTACGTTGCAATTGTGCTACTGTACATGTCATTATCACCCACGGGCGTGCTGCTTTCTCAGACATAGCCTTCTCAGTTCTTTGGCACTGCGGCTCTTTCTGCAGCTCTAGCTGCGCAGTCCAAGCACATGAGCACATTTTTTCTTTGTTCTGCAGAGCAACCGGAAGTTCGGACCAGGAAGATCGTCAAGGTGGTCACCCAGACCATGGTCAATGGCAAGGTGGTGGACGAGTCCAGCGAGGTCGAACATTTTGAAGAGAAGAAGAAATAAAAGCGTCATAATTGCTTTATTCCCAGACTTCACCCGAAGTGCCCAGTTTCTTCATAGTTCCGGAGATCCTTCTGGAACATTCATACCAAAGTGTTGTTGAACCTGTAAAACTTCTGTGTAGCTCTTGTTTCAAATATTTATTTCATGGTAATGAAGTCAAAGGAATATTTCGGTTTCCATTACATGAATTTAATGAATGTAATAAAAAATATTTCAGTCAGCCACTGTCTCCTGGAAATTTTCATCCACAGACATACTGGGCATAGCACAAATGAAATAACACATTCCATTTCTTAAAGATACAGAACACATGTTCTTGGGACCTCAACCTTAGGTTAAAGTACATAAGTGTATCTTGTTAACCACTACATAAGTAGAAAGTCTCAACCTGGTAATGTTTATGTAAGAATAAAAATGTTTAGGAAGAATCCATAGACTGATGAGGCAAAAAATGATTATTTCCTGTCTAATACTTAGCTGCTCCTCAGGATGCTGCCAGACAGGGCCAGTCAATCCTAGGTGACATAGGCGGCTGCCTAGGGCACCAGCTTCTGAGGGGGTGCCGACTTGCCCGCCAGTTTCACTTTGCCTTGGATACAGGGCCCTGGCAGTGATGCTCGCCTAGGGAGCCACACCGGTACTACCGACAGAGCGACTAAAACATGGACTCTACAACAGCTCTGAAGATGTCCTGTGGTATCTAGCACAAAGACATTAGCAGTAGATCTTTTAAGTCCTGTAAGTTATTGTTCTAGCACATCCCACAGATGTTTGATTGGATCGAGATCTGGGGAAATTGGAGGTCAGAACAACACCTCGAACTCTACGTCATGCTCCTAATACCAACAACTGAACAATGTATGCAGTGTGGCAGGGGACACTGTTCTGCCGAAAGAGAGACCTTCCATCAGGGAATAGCTTTACCATGAAGGGGTCTACCTGGTCTGCAACAATGTTTAGGTTGGTGGTGGAAAGATGAACATCCATATGAATGGGCAAACCAAGGATTTCCCAGGAGAACATTGTCCAAAGCATCACACTGCCTCCACCAGTACGTCTTCTTCCTGCAGTGCACCTGGTCCTATCTCTTCCCCAGGTAAATGACAAATGATGCAACAGAAAACGAGATCCATCAGATCAGACCACCATCTTCCATTGATCCAAGATCCAGTTCTGACACTCACATGCCCCCAGTAGGCACTTTTGACAGTGGAGACAGGTTAGTATGGACATATGACTGACCTGCCCATATGTAGCAGGGCATGGTTTCCTGACACATTAATCCCATAAACATTAAAATTGCATTCAGTTTCTTCCATAGTAGCCCTTCTGTTGGTTCATACCACACAAGATAACCTTCATTCACATCTTACATCGATGAGTCTTGGCTGCCCAACACCCTATTGGCGGTTCGTGATTGTTACCTCCTCAGACCACTGTCGGGACCTACTCACCGCGGCTGACCGCGAGCACCCCACAAGCCGGGCTGTTATGGAGACGTTTGACCCAGTCGTATCCAGGTACGTATCCATTTCTTCTGTATTAATCACGTTGACTGAGTCCCAACTGTTTCCTTGCTGTCTTATATATCTCAGAAATGGACATGCTGCATTGTTACAAGAGAGTCACTTCATGGAGGGGTGGTTGAAATGTTTTGGGTCATCAGTTAGTACACACACACATACACACACACACACACACACACAGAAATCATAGCTTATGGGTCAGTTGGTTTTATAGCATGGGGAGGTGGTTGGGTTGGCCTGGACAATATACAATGCAGTCCGGGTTACCTCAGAACATCTGGCTGAGGCTTCTGTGCAAAATCAATTCAAATGAAACCTCTGGAAAAATCTCTGCCAAACACAACTGGGGACATCATGTCTTAATAGACTTTGTTCAAGGCCTCAGTCACTGCACCATGAGGACTGTGTTTAGCTGGGATGAGGAGGTGCTGACTAACTCTGGGGACAGTGGGGGACAGGCCGTTTTGAGGAACTCCTTAACCCTGCAGGATATGCACTCCATTCAGGAGACGAGACCGCATTGCCTGTAGGTGTGTGTGCGTGTGTGTTGTGTATATATTACATTGTGGGGACCAGATGTCCCCACAATATGATAATAATCTGCTATTTTGATCTTGTGGGGACCATTTTTTCAGTCCCCACAAGGGGAAACTCCATTTTATAAAAATCTGTGACTGCAATCAAAGAACTAAAACAGCCAAAAGTATTTTGTTTGGCTACTTATGGTTAAGGTTGGGCTGGATATTGGTTAAGGTTCTCATTGTTGGGATTAAGGTTTTGCCCATTGAAATAAATGAAAGATATGAATACAAACATGTGATGTGCGTGATTGTGCCCTGCGATGGGTTGGCACCCCCTCCTGGGTTGCTCCCTGCCTTGCGCCCGTAGCTTCCGGGATAGGCTCCAGACCCCCGCAAGCTTGAAGAGGACAAGTGGGTGCAGAAAATGAATGAATTCATATTTGACCTTTTTCCTACATTTGGATGTATTTATTTTTGGACAGAGTATAAAGATGCCTTTAATGCACAATGCCTGTTCCCTGCTGCTTAACAAGGTGGTGGACCTGCACCAATATGAGCAACCATTCTGTGGTGGTCATGGTCCACATGGTCTTATAACGGGCTTTTTACAGGACACCACATAAACCCAGTGCAGAAAACACTATTTCCTCACTGCATTCTCATATTACTAGATGATCAAGCCCACAGACGCTGCTAAACAAATTTAATCATGCTCCATACACATTAAAACAGTTTTTTCCAAAGCAATAATGGCTTTAAATTCAAAATAGAACTGTTAATTTTTATATTTAATCAGTGCAATATTTTTATTACTCTTATGCCTCACATTGAGTCGACTGCATTTCAATTTCGTTGTTCAAGTGACAATGACAATAAAGATTTAAGATCTCATCTTATCTTATCCTATCTCATCCTATCTCATCCTATCTCATCTTAGCTTATCCTATCTCATCTTATCTTATCTTATCTTATCTTACGATGTAGTCAGACGCATTTCACAGCCTCCCCACTCACCACATCTAAGCACTACTGACTACCTGGGAGGCCTCCAGACTCAGAACTGAAAGACAATTTCTAAATAGCTGTATGGTTCAGCCATCAGGCATCAGCATTAAATGTAGATGGAACTTTCCCACAACCATACTGTAGTTCTGCTTCTTCAGTAGGGACTGCATTTTTCATTGCCCTTATACAACACCCATTCCCACAAAGTGATTTACAGAACTTTCCAGAAATCGTAGGCAAAGGAGAAAAAAAAACACGTCCAACAGAACATATGCACGTTAAAAGTAACAATAAAACGTAAGAAGAATTAATTGGGTTGTCCATTACTGACATGTCTTTGTTTGACGAGATAAACACCTCTTTGGTCTCCAAACCTTTCCTCAGGGACACCTCAAGCATTCCACATATTCATTACATGTCACCACCAGCTCAAATAATTAATTAACTAGTTAGCTGAATAAATAAAAGAGGTACTGATTGGCTGAACAAGGTGGGTGTGCTTCAGTCAAAAATTGTATGGGCGTTTTGGACAGTTGCTTCAAATACTGTAGTGGTTTTAGGAGAGGTTTTGAAATGGCTAAGCTGACAGACACGACATAATAGTTTCACACCAACAGGAAGATCATTTAAACATTTTCTTGTCTAAGACTTTTGCGCAGTACTGTATGTACATACAATAAACAGGACTGCAACAATCTGTTTGCATTCTTAGACAGACACTCTGCATTGGCATTTAATTACTGAACATTAGGCATTTATGGCCTGAACATAAAAACATTGTGTAGTTATGCTCAGGCTACACAGCCTTCAAGTGGTTGAACGTCTTTCTGCTTAAAAAGGCTTGTTGATACACAGCCTAACACTAGGCCTACAGTAGTTTCGGACTGTAGGTATACTTTCAACTGCAATCTCAATTGCTGGATTATGCGCTCGTTCACAGACAGCAATTATGCATGTTTTGGCAGCTGTACAGAGGGCTTTCAGTCATGTAACATTTTAATGATCCTAATGAAGTCATTGTTTTGCTCTGTGACATAGAATTGTCAGCCCTCGCACAAGATAGACAGTTTCCTTAGTGAGAGAGACACTGAGACTGTAGTGCACTATAATGCGTTCAGATTACTGGGGGAGAAATTTGACAGTAACCTACTGTGTTTACATAACAGAAGTTATGGGCTCAGATAAGCCCTGTTAAATCATTCATACATCCCTAATGTAGTTTCATCCAATTAAATCCATGTTCTCATGAGTGAATTTATGACATAATCCACAACATTTACAAATGCAGCTAAATGATAAAAATTGCATTCTGGTTATATACTTTTTTAGGTCTTAACCTTGACTTCTCCCAAGGTGTGGGATGATGCTGGACCCTGCACACTTTGGACAAATGTGTCTGGTAGAAAAAGAAAGTTAATGTAATAATGTAGCTCTGGGAACTGGTGGTCCATTGTATTTGGCAAAAGCAACCTTAAACATTATTCTAAATCAGTCATCCATTATGAGATTTATTTGTTAAAATGAAAGTGGAAAAAGCCTGAATGACCTCTGACAGCAGAAACACCACAAGATGGTGCATTTGCTTGCATTTTATACATATTTTATACATTATTATTATGTTTTTTTTTAAAAAAGAAGTTGCCAGGGATTAAAGTGAAAGGCAAGGGGACTAGGAAAGACATCAATGGTCTGTGTATCACATACTGTAGGTACAAGAGTTTTCAGTTCCGATCTGCCTTTGCTAAAGTCATACAGAGTGCCTTTGATGGATAGCCAGAATGGATTTACGTAACAAAAACTGCTGACGGAAACCAGGCTTATCGTTTACCTGGAATGTCAATTTCAATAAAATTCCAAATAATAGACTGACAATAAAATTAAAAGCGGCAGGAATCCGAGGTGACCTGCACAGATGGATAGCGTACCGGGAAACAGACAAGAAAGAACATGTCTATTGAGAGGCAACATTTCCAGCTGGCCCAACAGAATCAGAAGAGGACCACAGCTTTGAGCTGGGTCCATTATTGATCCATAATCTTTTAAAAGTACACAGTTTCCAAAATATTTAGAAAACTGGTTAAATTTGCAAACAACAGATACGGAAGAGGCAGCAAAAGGTTCACAAAAAAACACGCAAAAAGCTAAGGAATGGAGTAACATGAGAAGTA